GAGGTGATTTTAAGCCACAAATCCAGCCACAGTGGGTGGGGATTCTCTTTGCCAGGAGTTTTTTTTTAACATTTTCTGTTAATGTAAAATAAATAATTCCAGGTGTTTTATTAAAAGTTCAAACAGAATATGAGAATGTGAAGCTTGTTTTTTAAATGTCTATGCGCCCACCAATGGTGTGGACAGGATGGCTTTTTTAAACACTTAAGATGACACTGTTAAATCCTGTAGTGGTGATGATTTTATGTTTTTAGGAGGTGATTTTAACTGCACTGAAAATCCCACCTTAGACAGCAATCATTTAGAGCCACATCCCGCATCATGTCGTCGCCTGAAACAACTGACTGAAGCACATGAGCTGTCTGATGTGTGGAGGGTTTTTAACAGTAATCATAGACGATACACCTGGAATCACTCAAAAGAATGTTTTATCCCTTGCCAGACTGGATCGCCTCCATTGTTTCAAACACTATTTTAATATTTTTAAAAGGTGTTTCATTCAGCCTGTGGGTTTTTCAGATAATTTTCTAGTCTCCTGCTGTTTTTATCAAAAATGTTCTTGTAAAGAACACCTATTGGCACAGCTCTTTTAAATGACCAGGCTTTTAGAAATGCTTTTAAGTTGTTTTGGTTTTCCCACAGAGAGAGCAGGCCTGCCTTCAACAGCATTCAACAGTGGTGGGAATTTGGAAAAACCTAAATAAAACAAATTTGCCAGCAGTTCACTCACAATGCTACCAGAGAAGTAACCCGGACTATGAGGGATCTGGAGAGACATCATAGGACACGATCTGCTCGATGTGATAAACAACAGTCTCCAGAATGGAAGGCTTCCTCTGAGCTGCGGGAGGGCCGTCATCACCCTGCTGCCAAAGAAGGGAGACCTACAGGACCTGAAGAACTGGAGGCCGGTCTCTCTGCTGTGCAGGGATTACTAAGCTCTGGCCCTCAGTGGAGGTCATTGTAAAAACCTCCACTCAGCAGAAGACACAGAGACTTACAATGGAGGGTGCTCAACGCCATCATGGCAGTGAACTCTTTTGTCTCCCTAATTAAGCACACAGTGGAAGACAAGTGCCCGTTCTGTGGCAAGAGAGAAACTGTCTTTCACTGTTTTTATGAGTGTCATCATCTGTCTGAATTGTTTCTGTTTTTACAAATTGTTTTAAGGAGGTTTTTAACCAGCAGATTTTTATTCATGGTTTTAGATACACTCGCCAGCACAAACAGAAAAGCCAGGAAGAGGAAAACCTCCACATTGAGCTGCTCCCTGTCTGTGTCAACATGACTAAATCCAGAATATTGGTTGATATTAGTTTTTACAAAGCAGCAGGTGACCTGGACTGTTTTAATGATCACTGGCGTTCCCAAAGATTGTATGTTCTGTGGCAGCAGGAGAACTTGTTTATGCTGATTACCTTGTTTGAATTCTTAACTTGCTTTATTGCTGATGTGAGGTGTTTTTTTAAATACATTTTTAGGTGGTAACTGACACAATGTGTACAGTTAAAAATAGTGCCGAATAAAGTTGTTTTCAAAAATCAAATCTCCCTCTGTCTCTCTCATCTCCTCCAGGTGTGTGCTCTTCCAGCACCGCCACTGGAAGCCACTCGGAAATCAGAGTGAAGCTTATAAAAACCCTGAGCGGAGCTTCAGATGGCTCCAGTGGGCCAAGTGGCTGAGAGTGGACCCAGTAGTGTTTATTAATTGTTGGTGTTCCTGGTGTACAGTTGAACTCGTGGCCTAACCGAGTTAGTGCTTTTGTATTTTATTGATTCATCTGTCCCTGAATTGTAAGTCATTACACTACTTTTACATTACTGTTTCATTACTTTCACCAAAATAACAGGAAATATGGATTTGTTGTTCTCAATAGATCTTCTTGTGTTCAATACAGCTCATTACACAGCAGGAGGTGATGTGGTATGACATAATGACTGAGCTAGGCTTAAGGCTAACAAAAGTACACTATAATGGTTGCAGTTATGGCTCATGTTGCAGTACATTTTTATAATAGAAATACTGTAACTTTAGGTATTCATATTGAAATCAATAGAGCTAGAGCCTTCTACTGTAGATTGTAAAAAAAGTCAAGATACACAACCCTTTTACATTTCTATCCCTTTATTCTCTTTTATTCACAGAGAATTCACAGCATAATGACACATCGGTTATGCTTCATCAAAAATAAAAAAAAAGATTAGTCCTTGGCCTCAAGGGATAAAATAATGCCAGGCCTGAGGAGAAAAAAAAAAGTGGTAACCCTTAAGATCACTTACAGCTAGACTATTAACTCAAACTATTAACTTGAACTACTAACCCTCACCTATATGGAGTTACCTAGCCACATTTCAAGGTGACAGAAAAAGAAACTGAAGRGCTRCAAATGAAATGAAAGTGCTTTGGACGACTGGCCCTCATAYGAATCACAATTTCAGACTTCAAACAAACAGAGGTAGCATGCAGCCAAACAAGGCTGGTAAAGTTAACTTATATAGCCTTGTAAAGGTTCTATGGTGGGGAGCTTTCATGTTCAAATATCGCCCTTCTCCAAGACGGTTACGTTTTGGAGTGAGCACATGACTCCCGAGACTGAAAAGTCTTTCGACTGGTGCGCTGGATGGTGAAGGTGCATTGTAACGGAGAGCGATTCTTTTAATTCTTGGAAACCGGTGGAGGCTTTCCATCACAGGGGCAGAATTCAGGTAAGATGTTACCTCTGTTTCCACTGACATGGGTGCATCAGCCGACACACTGACCTGTTCATCAAAAGAGAAAAAGTCCTCCTCACTTGGAGTGACCACGGCAGGTGGAGGGGCATTAGGCATCAGGCTCCTCCATTGGAAGGGAGCGGCACTCTGGTGTAAGGAGGACAGTGATCTGGTTTCTTCTGGTTTCCTCTTTAACCCAGTGCAGCTTGAACTTGGGCAGTGAGATGGAAGCCAGTAGCGCAGCTTTGGAATCAATTGTATGTAGAATGTAGAGTCCGACTCTGCAGC